AATCTCAGAGTTTTAGTAGTATGTAGATAGATAGATAAACCGATATGTGATGCCACCTAGTGTACCTAAATTCATCTAAAAAATTTCATAAAAGTGATCCGAAAAACAGCGCTAACTCGGTAACCCGTGGCCCGATTTTAACGAAACTTATTTTATTCTGTTTCTATTCTCATTTCATTACAAATATGGTGCTATTGTGCACCATTTTTGCTGTATTTAATTACAGACAAACAATCTCAGAGTTTTAGTAGTATATAGATGGACTTTATGGTTCCATATTAAGTTAACATACAAACAGTAATGTGTCATGTGTAGTGCCTGTTGCCAAAAAATATTTCTTACCCATTGGACATCACCTCTATTTTTTCAACAATAACAGTGATAGAAAATTCATGTGTATGTGAGTGTTAACCATGTCAGTTAATGCAAGTTGTTGCTAGGCAATAGCTATTAAGGAACATGGCAGTATATTGTTCAAGTGTAGATCCTGTATTGGGGCTCCAGACAACATTTTTGTCAAAGAGCCAGTAGCTTGTAGGCAAAAATTTTGACCATCAAATTCAATTGTTTGTCACTTCTTTTAAGAGCCAATTGACTGTTTCTGTATTCACCTGCTTAAAATACAAGAAAAATAAACTTTTACAATAACAGGAACTTAATATTTGTTGTAACTTGTTTGCTGCATCATTATTCATTTATGCCCAGAAAACTATTTTTTATGCAAGCTCTGGAAAAATGCCTATGCTATTACAGATTTTAGAGTTTGGTGCTCATTATTGTATTTCTCCCTTCTCCCATCAACTTATGCTGAGTATGCAAGACTGTGACCTTGGCACTTGTGGAAGTATAGCAAATAGTTGGTCTTACAGCTAACTGTTCCTCAAAATGAGTTCATTGTGAAGACTTGTATAAAATACAGGTGAGGTATGAAGAAAAGTATTCATTCTCATAAGAGTATTATACATAACCTTATCAAGTATTGGAAAAAAACTGGCAGTGTTAAATAGAAAACTGTAATACAATCATACTGCATTTACATCACTGAGTGCATTTTATAAATGTTTTAATTAAGGTGTTCAGTGCTGCCAGGGAACAAACACTTGCAACGTAAGTTATAAGGTTGTTACAATTTTGATTATGAAAATTTGAAAAATTTTGCCTTAAAAAAGAAAAATGAGATAAAGTGCATTATTGGATATGCTGTTTGTGTTACTGCTCCAGATTCTCTCTTTTTTTTTCCTTTTTTGTGCATTAGTGCATCTCAGTTCATCCATATAATTAATCCATTAGTACTCACACTTCATTTCTACTGTATAATTAAACTGGCTTGTTAAAGTGACCTTATTTTCTCTATAACACTAAGTTCTTTCATATTCAGTTAGACCACACATCTAGGAGGTTCAAAGAATGTTATGGGATTTTTATACTTTTTAACCCATGGAAGATTAAGAGAAAAGTAGCCAAAAATATTTCTCCTGCATTGATTTAGTCACAGTCTGGGAGCACTGCATATGTGAAAGCTGTTTAAACACGATGCTTGCAGGTACTTGGAAAACATTTTCTCTGTCAGTAGTATATGTTATATTATCCAGTACCTAAAAGCTTCTTATGGAGTATATTTTGATTATAATTTCTAGTTACAACTTCCAAATGTACAGTATTACTAACTGTAATTAAATTGATGAGCACTTTCTTTCATATCTTCAGCTATACAAGACCAGATTTCTGAACATGTGGCTACCTTTCTTTTTCATAAACTGGGCCAGAAATATCATGATTTGTGTATAATTTAGGAGAAAAAAGGTGGTGACTGTAGATATATAGGTGATTGATACGTATAATGCATGTGAGACAAATCTGGATCATGTTCTACATCATGTGAGTCAGAGTATCCAGCCAGCAACCATGTGATATGTTAAAAAAAAGGATATTGAAGATGCTTGCATTGTTTCAATGGCAGTAGGAAACAAGCATTCAAATTGTGCAAATGAGAAAAAGAAAAATTATACTGAACATTATGGAGAAATAAAATGATGAGGCTGAAGACAAAACATTGCCCTGGACATGGCTGGGACCCCGTGCCACCATCTTTTTTTCCCCTTGTCGTTTTCATGTCTGAAAAAATACAATATTTCTTCATAATTAATTTTAGCAGAAATTTAAAATTTTTATTTATCAAAGATTACCCTATAGAAAAAATTAAAACATTGCATTTTTATATATAAGAATTAGTTTAAAAAATTAAAGTTTTAATTGTCATAGGGCAAGATTGAAAAGATTTTATATATATATACATTTTTTCTGTGAAATGATTTAGTAAAATCTAAATATGATATTCTTTGCATAAAATGCTTGCTATAAAATGAAGCTTGTATATACACGCACGCACGACATTACACATCATTATTAAAAAGTACTTGTTATGTATTACGTTTTGTGTTATGATGTAGATTGATGATAAAAGATTTTCTATTATGTGTAGTTTAATAAGTATCAAAGGGTTTTATTCTTTATGTATATCTTATGTAAAGGACAATTTTTATCGACCTGGTATATTTAAGTGTTTTACACTTGCAAAAAAGAAACATCATTCTATAGTTATTTGAATAATAATTTTTATATAGTTTTATTGTATTTTTTATGTTTCCTTTGTTAAAAGGTATTCCTTGACTGCAGTGGTATGAAATGTGTTTGTCTGGTACAAGGGTAAGGTACCATAGATACACAACAGTTTTACTCCTATTATTTCATCATATTAAAAGTTTGAACTTAATGACTATTCTTTTGCTATCATACACTGTAAATATATCTGTACTTTTTCATGAATAGTGTCAATGGAAAATTCTTTTGGGCTTATTCTAACAAGTTCTTGGGCAGTTAGTGAATTCAGTTTAGCTTTGCAGTAAGTTTCCTATTGAACATCTTGTTAGAGTGGTTACTATTCTTCCCTGATGAAAATTAGTGTATCTAAGAATATTGCAAGTAAAGGAGGAAAAATTTAGTGACAGATTAATTCCAGATGTTGTTAAACACTGTCCAAGCAAAACTGTAATTTGGTTTTGAAATTCACTGAAAACAAAGATGTACACATATGTGGTCTAACAAATAATATGTTTATATTGAAACTAGTCACCATTCATATTAAACACTTTCTGTTCACCATTGAGGCTAATGAAAAAAAAAAGAGATGAATACAGTGGAGCTCATTGCTATGCCAAACAAACCAGGAGATAGAAAAAAAAAATATCATAATGTGCTATTGTATACGTAACAATATGATGTCTAAAATGGCACTGAACAACACTTAGAGGTATAATTTATCTGCCATAACACACTAAAGAGTTCTGCAAATTGTGACCTCATTTGCTTCTCATTAACTCTTTCAGCACGGGCTCAGTCCCTGGGACCAACCTTGTAACCATTTTGTGCTTATTATAGTTTTCATCTATAACTTTTTAATTAGTAAGCAGATTATCAGTATACATTAGAATGCTTTCATATGCAAAATATAAAATTTTTTTATTAAGTTTTAAAGTTGGTAAACCAATGTTTTTCTCTTGCCTTTTTTATTTTTGTATGTTGCCTATCCAACATGCAAAGTAATTTTCATTTTAATATTAAAAACACTTTTATGCATCAGAAAATGTTCAGTGTTGCATATTCTAACTTTGGGTGAGTTCTATTGGATTATTTGGTAAAAATTATGAGAAGTTCAATCTGCTTAACTTTTTCAGCATGGACTTGATCCTTAGGACCGACCTCGTAAGCATATTGTGCTTGTTATAGTTTTCATGCTATAACTTTTAAATTAGTAAGCATATTTCAACGAAATTTGGCAGATTATCAGGAAACATTATAATGCTTTCATATGCAAAATATCAAATTTTCTTATTAACTCTTTAGGCTTCTTAAGCAATGTTTTCTTGTGCCTTTTTTTTCTTTTTGCATATTGTCTATCCAACAAGCAAAGTAATTTTGATTTTAAGGTTATAAATACTTTTATGCATCAGAAAATTTTCAAATTTCACATGCAAAATCTTTAAAGGTCCAGATAGTTATCAAACATTTCTTAAGAAATAAAAAACTTTATATGTTTTCTGTTATTTTCACTAACAAATCTCTGTACAGGTTTGGTAGATTTGACCGATCATGTAACCACCATAAAAAAAAAAGGAAATAAATATAAATTATGCCTCTTTCATTTAAAATGACAACAGATTATAACACGAAAACATAAATGTTTAGACTAAATAGCTTAAATCTCATAACATTATACATTTATATATATTTATTATTTTTATTATGTTGACCTTTCATCCCTGCCTGACTAACAATAGAGAAGTTACAATGATGCGGCACACATGTTCTCATGTTACCATATCTAATATTATAAAACTGACCTTTAGTCTCTACAAAGTGACATGTTTTGGCTGTGTTTTAGTAAGTAGTATTTTGCAAAATACAGTCACATTTCCAATATGATACATTATATATGTATATAAATTATCACTATTTCACTGAAATTGGCGCTGTCTATGATACATAGACACTATGTGGTACACTACTTTTGGCTACTAGACCCTATGATTTGGCTAATGTTAATTTTCTGTCAGTAGCCAATCTGGATACTGGTTTTTAAAGAGTCACGTCTGAACCATGACTTGTATTCATTATGAGCTTTTGCAATTTCCCTCATGTGTTGTTCTCTATGTTCTGACATTCAGTTGTCCCCATATTCAAAATTGTGAGATAGTGTTAAGAAAACGTTTTATATACATGATATATTATAAGTTTTGTGTACCTTTACCATTACAAAGAGGATGAAAAGAAATATTAAATAAAAAGAACCAAGTCATAAACCTTTGTTAAAAGTAAAAATCATACAAAAAACTATTCACTTCTGATATTTTCTATATATGTAATTCAAACTTTGAGCTTATCTAATGTAATTTTGAAAGCTTAAGTTATGGAGTATTGATTTGTATAATTTGCTATTCCAGGAATGGATTTGCATCATTGTGACATCCAAGAATTTTCCCTCCAACAACATGCAGAAATGCAGAAACGACTACATCACCATAGTGTATTGTTCAGAAGACCTTACAGAGTACATCTTGGAGGGTCAGATACTGATGAGAGTGAAGAAGTCAGTGACCTTTCTGATACTGAATTTGAAAGTGAGAATCTTTTTTTACGACCTGTTCCTGTTCAACAAAGAAGAGTTATGCTAAGAGCATCTGGAGTACAGAAAATTGATTCAACAGAGAAAGAAGTTTGTAAAGACATCAGATTATCAAGGGAGCTTTGTGGTTGTGATTGCAAGCTTTATTGTGATCCAGTGAAATGTATGTGCAGTCAGGCAGGAATCAAGTGTCAAGTAGACAGGTTGTATTTCCCATGTGGTTGCTCTAAAGTTGGCTGCCAGAATGTTGCTGGAAGAATAGAGTTTAACCCTGTGAGGGTGCAGTCGCATATTCTTACTACCTTAATGCGAGTACAGTCTGAGAAGCAGCAGGAGATTAAGAAAAATTATTCTTTTGCTTCAGCCACCAAGAATACAAAACTTGAAGTAATGTATGAAACCCCAAAGACATGTTTAAATATTCCAGAACATCTAGAAGAAAATGTGGATAATCAAACCTCTCCATTTGAGTGTGAAGAAACTTTTACATGTATTCATAATAATACAGTCCCCTTACCAGAATGTGTATCTGTTCAAGACAAAGAAATTATTTCAAAAAATGCCTTATCTAAAAAGTCAGGTGGTAAACTAAAAGAAAAACAGTCTGTTCAATATTGTGTGAATGCATGCTCTACAACAACTATCGGCAATTTTGAAGCCTCAAACATTTTCAGAGAGAATCATTCTGATTCTGAAAACTTAACAGTCATAGCTCAGACAGTTTCTCTGTCCGATTCTATTAAAGTTAAAGACATGCCAAATGAATGCCTAAAAGATATTAGTAGGTTTGAAGACTTGACAGACAGAGCTTGGATGGTTCCTCTGTCAAACTCTGAAAAAGCTAAAGATACACCTAATGAAAGCTTAGTGGAAGCTACAGAATCTGAATACTTGACAGTGAAAGCTCAAACACTTCCTTCCTTAGGTGTTAGTAAAACTAAAGAAATGTCTAATGAGTGCTTGGAGGAAAATAATAGTTCAGGAGACTTAACTATCACAGCTCAGAAAGTTACTTCATCAGACTCTCCAGAAACTACCGATTATGTGGTGGAAATAATCAAACAGAATTTGGTTGAATCAGTTATAGCCTGAATATATTAACAGCTAGGTTTGTTTAAAGGTATAGTTAAATTGTGTACAGAATTTCTTCTCTTACGTACATAGAAGAGTATGGTTTTAGCTTACAAATTTTGCTTTGTCCTGTTATCATGAAGTTTATTTCTAGTTCAGTAAGATTTTATTGAATACTTAATTGATGATTAGAAAGTAATCTGTAATTAAATTTACTTATTCTTTACAAAAAACTAAGTTTTTATTGAATACATACTTTATTATTAGGAAATATTAATTAGCATAGTTTTAATTATCCCTTTACAAAATACTTGATGTATTTTTAAATTATACAAACTAATTGAAAATATTTATTGAAAGTAACAGAGTAATCAGGTTTTGGTAATCCTGCTTGTGGTGAACCCCAATATTGTCATTTTTATTTTAATCAAGAAGTTTGTTAACTCATCACATTATCTAGAGCATTTGTAATTCCCTTTTTAATTGAGAGATTATTTTCATTCTTTTTCTACTTGTGGTCAGAGTTCAATAACAAAGAATATATATAGAGATAGAGAACATTTTCATAGAATGTGTAATTTTTTTTGTGAGAAAAAAAAGGAATTTGTATGTGAATATGTTGATTTTCTACCAAAAAAGTACTATGGCTCTGGTATATAGAGATAATATTTATTGTAAACACTGTGAAACAAAATTTAAAGTATCTAATTCAAAATCAATTATTAAAATACAAAAAAAGTGCTATCCTTTATATGTTAACACAGCAATGTGGTGTTGAATAGTATGTTTACATACAGAGTAATTAATGTTTTGTAATTTACTTTTCTCATTTTACAGTTACTTTAACAATGTGTATAAAAAAAAGTAATTTCACACGTTTGACTATGTATACATTTAAATGTATAAATTCTTATTACACTTCCCTACTGCCTTTCAGTTCTTAGTAATTGTACTATTGAATATCACTTTGTGCTGTTTCAGCATATGAAAAGAACAATGCTTATGCATTTCACTTTTTGTTGTGATTAAGCACCTATATTTCTACACTAACAGAATTTTATGGAAAATTCCAAGGATGTGTTATGTTCACTAAGGCTATCAGAATTGTTTTATGGTAATCAAAGAAAAATTAATGTTTTTCCTTTTTTATGCCTTTAGTAAATTGAGACTTGAATGTAGAATGCAATGGTTTGCATTTACATATAAGCAGGTTTTTAGCTCTTTAAAGCAGTACACACATAGCAACTCTGCATATCCAAGATTTGATGGAGAAAATAAAATGTTTGGAAAGCAAAGACCAAATTTCATTCTTGTTGTATTTTGGTAAAATATGGGTATAAGCACCTATTCGTTAAACTACAGAAAAATATGCCCTCAATTAAATTAAAGGTGTACCAATGTGACTTTCAGTACTTTTCCAATATGCCGATATTTTAATGGCTATAGGACCGATTACCGATATTTGAATTGTGTTTAGGCACTACATGTGGCTTACAGAAGTTGGTATTAGATGCAGTCATACATACACATGTTACATGTATGTAAGATTAATATTTAAAACCTACATCAGATAAATTGTATTTAATAGACAGAAACATTTCAGCATTCTCAGCACAAAGTGGGTTTCTGTGACCATAATAAATATTACCAGCTCCAAAGAAGAGTCACCAATGGGACACTTGTAGGTGGTACACTAAGGTAACGTCAAGCTATCTTGGCTAAGATAGGATATCGTAGCTTGTTACTGTTCCACAATGTATAGGAATTACCCACTTGAGAGCTAATAAGGGTTCATGTAAGTAGTTGTATACCATGCATTCATTTCCTTCTCCAGAATCTATGGATTCTCCTGAGTTTCTAAAATTTTTGCCAACCATTCCCATACTTTACTAGTAGATTTAGTTCCAGTATCATCAGTATGTTGCTTCTTTTTAGGTGGCTCACCATCACTGTCCTCTGTAGATTCTGCACACATCTCTATCAGAAGTGTTTTAGCTAATGCTTTGGTATCATGTTCAGAAAACAAAACTTGTTTTTGTAACTGAGGTCCAATGTTTTTGCAATAACCAATTCCTCTCATTCTTCAACTTCACTAAATTTTCATGTCAGTGCACCTAACATCCCTGATTTCATTGTACAGACTCATGTGTCATCATCATACTTGTACGGACTCGTGAGTCATCTTGTTTCTTATTTAATGGCTATTTTTAGAGCTCTCAACAAAGGTATTAGCACAGATGCTGCTACTGTATTAGTAGATATCATTTTTGATACTTTCTCTACAGGTTCCAGTACTGCGGTTATTTTTTTGGTCAGCTCAAGCTGATGAGAAGTTAACATATTGATGGCGTCATATTCACATGCATATACATCCAGTGCCATTTTTGGGCTTATAAACTGATTGCAATAAGTAAAGGGTTGAGTTCCACAAAGCTGGTTCATCCTGTACCAACCAGTGTTTTTTCATGCTTGTTGTGTGTTTCATTCAATCAATAGTAGGCTAAGGTAGAGTGTTTAAACTGTCCAACATTTTTGTGAGATACAGCCAAGACATCAATCACTGCATGCTGTGATAACACTCCTTCATGCATGACCAGCTGAAGTGTATGTGCAAAGCATCCCAAGCTGGTTAGATGTGCATCTCGTGGCTTTCATCATATGCATTGTCATGCAACATTAAATGAACTCTCTCCTTGCCAGTGGCCCAGCTCTGCAACATAACCTCAAGTTTTTCACACAAGTATTCACCAGTATGAGACCCTTCACGTTTATACTTGTGCAACACAGCTAATATTTTATGAGTCATGTTGCAGCTCCAAATTCAAGTATGGTACCTCCACAAGCATCTCAACTAGTTTACAGTCAATACTTGTTTTGATATTTGGTACAACATTTTCTGAAAAATATTTGACTTGATATAACATACCTAGGCTCAGAGGTTTTAATGAGATGATTAAACCCAGTGTCATTTACAACTCAAAAATGCTGGTAATCGGTAGTAATCATTTTACCCACTAACCAGTGAATACATAACTAAGTAATATATTAGGATTGTTGATGTCCCATACTTTAACTTCAGTCTCTGTTTCCATCATTGAAAGCTGTAAGAAACCTGGCTGTTCTTTCTGCTTTTACTTTTCTTTCAGTTTTCTTAGCCTTTTCTTTGTAATCGTGATAATTCATAAGGTGTTTTTTTTTTAAAATATGACCAATAATATTGGTAGTATTAAAACGTTTAATGGAACTTCCACCACTAGATATGCATTCTTTACGGATATTATAAACACTAAACTTGTTGCTGTCTTCACAAACAGTAAAATAATCCCATGTAACTACTTTACAGAGCACAGTTTTTTACTGATTTTTGATATTACTGATAAGCCAGTATTGGTACACCTTTAAATTAATAAATGTATACAGTGTAATTTTGAAGATAATTTTTCGTAGCAAGCTCAGTGAGTAATTACTTTTCTTGGATAAATAATTTTAACAAACAGGGAAAAGGTAGTATGATTTGAATCAACTCTTATCAAAAAGAGATAAATTTTCTTATATATTAGTATCTTTTTGTTTATTTGCACATGTTTTAGAATTTAAGTGTTTTCCATTTGCTGCTTGAAATGAGCATGTTATGTGCTGGATGTAATGAAAGTATAATAGAAACAGTTTCTTGCAAACTCTTAAAAGCATTGAAGTGACACTGATAACCAATAGTAAGTGTAATTTTTTTTCAATTTCATTTTATAAATGTACCAAAAGGTCACAAAAATTAGTTTTCACATCTGTATCTCTCTCTTTGTGGGCATATATAAAATTTCAAATGAAAAGGATTTAACAGTTTCTCTGTGTTTGTAACTGATACCAAAATACCTTTATTACCACATTAAAAAAGTTACCCATAATTTTTGGAAACTTTATATAAAATATAGGACTTTATTTTCAGTTAAAGCTGTATTTCAACTACCTATCATTAGATGCATTATTATATTTTACTTTAATTTAGTAATTGTATTTGGAGGTGGAGGCAGAATGAATCTTTCATCATGGTGGAATCATAAGAAGAAAGCTTACTACATATAATTGAGTTGTTGATGAGAAATTGCTCTTTGCATGGTTCCAATATATACCATTTAGTTATATATATTACCCTATTGGAATACTTTTAGTTGTCAGTGTATTTAAAAAAATTCAGTTGAGACAAGAAAGTTTCAAACACAGTAACAGTGACCTGCCAATACTTAATCATTACCAGAAGATGGATATATTATTGCAAGTAACATTTGGGAGCATTGAAAAACAAACAAAAAGCTTGTAGTTGTTTTTGTTTTGTGGAGTAACTGCATGCAATATTACAAAGGCTTGTAAATATGCTTATTTCAAGTTAATTTATTATGATCTTGTATGTAATTTAGGTAGCACCTAAAACTCTACAACTTTTTAAATCTTATTAGTTCTGTATACTTTTAACATTTTTTATAATTGTTGCCCCTTTGATGGAAGTACAATATGGATAATGGTTTATAAAATAATGTTGATGCAGTAAAAGCAATATTGGGGCATTTACTGATGATTACCTGTGAAGTTTTTATTTGGTTCTTTGCATCTGTTAAAAACTGAAACTTCTGTTTGAATTTAGTTTGTGGATACAAATAACATGAAAAGATTGTCATTTAAAACTTTTAGTGTCTAGATTGAGAGTTATTTTTGTTTCAAAGTTTTGCTCTCCAGTTGATTTAAACTATATTAACTACTCTACTGTATAAGAAGAGTGGTATTTCAGGGGGATGCTGCCTCAAATGTAAAATGTTTGCTGGAAATATAAAATTAAAAAAAAAGAAAGAAAAAAGACAAATTTTGGTATCAGTTGGAATGTCAATGTAATGGATCTTCTACAGTGTACATTGATAAAATTGGTTAAAAGGATGGCAGGGTAACAAGTTTACTTTGGGTAAGAATGTTTGTATGTCTACTGGTTTTTTTTGTTTTTGACAAACCAATTATAACTGCTTGAAAAATAGGTTGCAGACCAAAACTTGAATTAAATATATGGTAATTGTATCCATAATTTAATGTTTACAGTGCTTGTAATCTTATGTAAGTAGGGACACAGGTACAATGCTAAATATTACCCATAAATTTCTTCAGTGTGCCTTTTCATAGTTTGTTACATAGCATGAGCTGTAAGTATAATTTTGGGAAGATGAAAAAAAAAAAGGAGTATTTTAAGATAACACAATTGCAATACTAGAAATGTTTCTTAAAAATCACATCAGTAAAAATATGATCTTTAATGTTTAATGTTTTCAAAGAGATATAGACATGGGTCAGGTATCACTGATACTCAAGTGCAGGATGTAAAGCTTTATAATACACTTCTGGCATTTATACAAACATTACCTATGTGGTTGTAATTTGATATTGTCATATTGTATAACCTTACACCATGATTATTGTCAGAAACTAATCTTTAATGCTCACATATTCCAAGGAGAAAATTAATTTTCCTTGGGTTAGGTAGTCCATAATGCTCATGAGTTCAGAATTAACTGCTAAGTTGTACTGGCTATGAGAGAAGATTTGCACTTGCAAAAAGAAACATTCCATTGTTTTGATTGGTAATGCTTGTGACAATTTTTAATGTTGGTACCCAAAAAGAATTTTTAAAACTTGTGTCCATTTGTTGCATAAGACACGTTACAAAGCTGATGTGTTTATGCTTTTATCCACTTTAAATAGAATATGAACATTTGTTAGTTGTTGTTTTTTCAGTTTTCCTTCTTTGTGTGAATAACTTATTAAACTAGTCAAATTAAAGAAAGAAGTTTTAACAGGAAAGTTAAAGCTTTGTTTATGGATAAAACAAGTAATACGTTTTTAAATACATCATGTTTTGCTTGTTTACCTAACATCTTCAGATGGATACAATTGTATAAATCAATGAAACTGTTACATGCTGTAGTATCAACAGTGATACTACATCACTAGGCAACAAAATGAAAGCAAGCAAGACACAACTGTTAAATAGGGAAGATTAGAATAAATATAATTTTACATGTGAATACTGGTTAATGCTAGGTTTTTTAAAAAAAAGGATAGCTTCTTTCATTTTACTTCTGTGTATATTATTTTCCCTTATCAGTGTTTTTTATCATCTGTAAAAACAAAAGAGTGCTTATTTTGAGCCATGTGCTCAAATACAAAAGAAAGGGCTTTTAAATGTTTTTCATTTTTAATCTTGTAGACTTGATGAACTGTGTTTCTAATGTAAGAATTAGTAGAGTCTTTATGTATAATTTGATACAAGGATTCTGAAGTTCTTTGTCAACAAATTTGTATAAAATTTGACTTAGCTTTCTTGCTGGTATGAAGGAAAATTTCACACAAAGTCCGTGTTGTATTCTTTAGTTGTTTTAACCAAGTTTTTTGGATAGCATGTGAGAGCCTGGAGATATATAGTATAAACAATAAAAAGATGTTTCTTCTTAAATTGTTGATTGTATCTTCAGATTGTTATTTATTTTTTAGGGATGACACTGTCCAAAATGCCTGATGAGAATAGCAAATATTCTTAATTGTTTCAAAGAGGTTTTTGATGATCCTTATTTTTTATAGGATCTTGAAAGTAATTCCAATGAATATTGACTCCTGAATGTGTTTTTAAGAAAAATGCTGGTATGAGTTGCTGCACTCTTTTGTGAACATTTGCAGTGGCTTGATTTTCTGGTGCTATGCTATCTTCTGCAAGTTCTTTGTACATCTCCCTGAGTATGGCATGTTTAATGTTGGTGGGTACTTGAACTTTGCAAAAAATTGTTGTTGTATTTGCTTGGTGTGATATTAAGGAACAATCTTGGTAGTAATGCAAGCCAGTTTTGACTGTTTTTCTTCATCACTTGTGCTGTGTGGTATCTTCAATACAAAATAGAGGTCAGGCTTGCTTCCTGCACTGACAAATGTGTACAACATTGTTTTGAAGCTAAATCAAGATTTCATAAAAGTTGCAGCAGTACATATCTCTTCTGTTTGTCAGTAGGTAGGACTTTGTTTAATGGCACATACTCATATGGAACCCTCTGGTGTAAGCACTGCTCTAGCGGTTAAAATTTGTTCAAGATCTTCAGGGTATGTAGATGATTGGTTGGAAATTTCATAACACTAACTACACAGGGTTGAGTGTTTAAAACCGGGGGTGTTTTAAACTGCTCGGTTTAAACCTGGTCTTAACCAGGCTGTTTTGAACACCCAAAAGTGGTCAAAACATAATGTTGCGTCATCGAGGTCACGTGACTGGTGTGGCGCCCTCTAGTTTCTAGAACTATCTTGTTCCTTCAGGAATGCTCTAGTATTTACTAGATGGGGTAGGCTGGTATATATAAGAGGGGACAACGTGACTCGGTAGTGTGTGTGTAGATAGTGAGTAATTGATCTGCAGTCAGAAGTATTATTGAGCACGTTTGTTGTTATAGCGTTCGTTTAGCGTGATTGTTGAAGTTGAGTGTATCAGTAAAGTTATATTCGGAAAGAATAAACCAGTTTTATTAAGTAAAGAACTTGTGTTGCCAAAGTTTCGTCAGAACGAAGTTACGGAAAGTTAATTAACAAACGGAGACGTAACAATAATTTGGTGAGTAAATGTATGCAATCTTTCTAAATTTATCTGGTTGTGAACTTCACTGCCAAAACAAACTTTCAAAACTTCATCAACTTGAATGAATATGGTAAAATAACACAATACAGGGAGATTTACATTGTATATGTAATGTTTTTTCTCCCAACATTACATGGAAACTTATACACAACTTTATATTCACAATTTATGTTTTAGAAATTCTCAAAACAAACTTTGAAGACAGTTTGTCAAGAACGTTTTTGTAATATCATCATATGCCACTACCAATGTTTAAAAATGAACCCTAAACAATATTTTAAAGATACTTCAATATGTAAACTGTTATCTGCTTTTCCTCAATTAAATTAAATTAGCCTATAAATGTACCTATAAACAACTTTTTCTTTTACCTAGCATCATGCAATGTTCCAGAATGAATCTCTGGTCCAGAGCTAATGTTAAAATAACATGAAAAATAAATCTAGGGGTCAGGCATATGATCATACAGTGTGTTCATACATACTTTACCAATCTATTTCTTCTTTACCTTGAAGGAACCTATAACATATGACTAGTTTGGCTGCTTTTTGTATTCCTAGCCCATTTTTCAGTTTGTTTTGGATGAGGCTGAAACTTGAAAATTCTCTTTCAATTGAGGCAGAGCTTGATGGTAGCATACACAGTTTTTGTGCTTTCTAGCAAAGTGCAGAAGTGACCATTCAAGAATGTTCAGTGTATTTCTTTCAAACATTTGGCATGGTTTCAGAACAGGTCATTGGATGATGCAAAGTCATGGGTAAAGGCAGCTCAGCTACCAAATCTGGTCTTCTGCCAGTAGAACCTCTTGGGCTTCATCCACATGATTGGGTTGAAGTTTCCTGCCCCTATACTATGGATGCAATAGATTAGCAAGAAAGTAGTCTGTTGTCAAGGGATGATCAAATTTCTTTTGGATGACATTTCTATGATGTAGTAGCTTGGGGCAGTTTAGCAGGTCAAACCATTATTCACAGGCATCACCAATAGTGGATGGGTCACTTCCAGATTGTCTAGGGCCTTGGCAATTGGTTGCAGTTGGGCATGCATGTTCTTGGTTTTGTTGTAAAGACCAACATTCTGGATAAAACTTTTGATCCTGGTTTCAATCACATCTTCATTTTCTGCAACTACCAGAGCAACAAAGGCCAGTTTCTGAGGTGGATGTCAATGCAGTCAAGTTGGATATTCCATCTAGTTTCCCCGGGCAGTTGTGACCTAATAGAGCCATCTTTACCAGTCAAGAGGGTTTCTGGCATGTGATCGTTGAGAAAATATTTGTTTATCTCCTGAACTTGTGTTTGATCACTTCTTGTGTTTTTTCATCTTGACCTAGAAGATTTAACTATTTGGATGAGCATCCATAGACTGTTAGAGTGGGGTCTATCTCATTCAAGGTTCATACACATTTCTATCACTTTGTTCTCATTGTCAGTCACTACAGCATTAATGGTACACCCAAACTTGTTAGATGCCTCTTTCATCGAATTATTGGCAATTTCTGCTTTGTACCTGTTTTTACTGCTGACAGGAAGTAACATTTCTGCTTAACATCTGTTTCTGGCAATCATGGGAGCATTATGAATGCCACACCAACCATCTTGCATAAGTGTTGCATCCTGACCCACAACATGTTCCTTCACAGTTTCAATAATCTTCTCACGGACTTTAACAAGCAATTCTTCACCTAGGGGCAGGTGAGTGGGCTGATATCCTAATTTCAAGATGGGACACAATATTGAATGAGATGTTGCAGGCATAAGATATCTTTGCAACATCTAATAGCACCTTCATTTTGGGACTTTACTTAATTCCAAAATTTATGACAGCCTGCTGAAGTTTAGCCTTTTTAGGGTGTGGTTGATCATGTTTGGAAGGACTTTAAACATCTGCCACGGATGTTGCAGATGAAAGTTCTTGGATGTCATTGTCAGTGGAACTGATGGTTGCATTGACTGTGGTGGTATTGGACTTGCATTTCTGATGTCAAAAAGAGTTGGACATTTTGTTAAACGAGTTTTCAGTTTCATTGTTTTGGCAATCACTTCAGTATTGTAGTTTCTTCACCAAACCACCATTTTTCCATATTGGATCACTGGGTCTTTCACTTTTTTTTGTCCCCTGGTAGGATAGCAGTAAGTCTTTCGATTTACAATACTAAAACCAGGGGTTTGATTTCCCCTCGGTGGACACAGCAGATACCCGATGTAACTTTCCTATAAGAAAACACACACACACTTTTGTTTGTGGTTGAACTTGTATCTGTATAAAGAAGTGTAATTTAATACATATAAATTTGTCACAATGAAGCATTCATCGAAGAAAGAAGAACAAATGTGAGTGACTCAAGAGTACTGGAATTAATTTCAAAGTTTAATCAGTTTTGAAAAGATTAAGCCATAATTCAATCTAGCATTAATGATGCAAAATTCATCAGAACTCAAAGTTAGATTTTAACTTCATTACATTACTCCATGCTAACTTCTAGATTGCACCTACCTGTATAAAAGAACAACTGAACTCACAATGAGTTATGATGATAAATGCAACAACCCCTTGCATGTGGTGACAAAACATGCTTTTCCTAAACTTAAAACGCTTTTTGAAGCTATTTTTAAAAACTATTAACTAACCTCTGTGTAAATAAATTCCCTATAAAACAATGATATTATGTGTTCTTCAAAATAAGAAAGTACGTGAGTGCATAGTAAATATAAGTTTGCCTGCCCTCCCAAACACCAAAAGTGTTTTTGTTTGTATTGACCAAATCTGAATGTCAGTATGTCTGACCAACATTTGCAAGGAAGTCGAGAATTCATAATCATCCATTTTGCAATAGGAATTTGCTGCAGGGTATTGAAAACAATCCACTACCAAAAGTTTAATGATCAAGAGCAAGACAATGTAATACTAGTGCTTTGCTCAATTAGCATTAAAAGTTTCTTGTCTTTATACAAGTTAAAACAATTATTCTCATCTTAGCTCACTGAGATTAGTTATGATTCCACTCAATCTTGCTTAGCTAAAAAACATGACAGTTTTACATTGGCTTGTTACTGTACTGTACTGATGATATTTGTGTTTCGTTTTTAATACAAATTTCATATTCTTACCTCAATTAACGTTGCTTCTACTGGAAACTTCAAGTTCATAGATTATGTTGCATTGACTTGGGTATACAGTAGGGAAGATACTGTAATTGTTGAAAATGAGTACTGTTGATGCTTTTGTCTAACAAGGAGAACGCCACACACACTG